TTAGGGAAAATCAACCTACAAATTATACATTATATATTAAATATCAAATTGTAAATGTATAATCATTATAAGTATAATACTTATAATCATGGTTATTTTAAGTATTATTAATATATAGTTAATGATAAGTATAATGTACAATTATGTATAATGTGTGTATATGTGTATATATAGATAGGTATAGATAACAATTCAACCACAATATAATTCAAAGACTTCTCTATTCGTCCTTGAATGTTAACTTACTCTTTTTTTTAATTATACTATTTTATTGTGAAAATACAACCTAAGGACCAATGCAGAATGCATATTTTTAGAACTAAATCTCTTTTCCAGCTCTAATCGTCCCTCCTCTGTAGACAGTGATAATCTGGCCTGTGAGAAAGAAGGTAGGCAAAGTATGGACCTATAGATGGTGGCTCCAGGGTTAGCCAAAATTATATAGCCTATTTCATAGGAAAAATTTAAGGATACTTATTAAGTGCTTAAAGCAGATCCAGAAGCATGTTATATGCTTTATACAAGTGTTTAGTTTTGTTTATTTTACTTTGTTTCTATAGAAAACATCAGCCACGCATATGCATGGATCATGGGTATTACTACTAAGTGTCATGTTTGTAAAAATGGCACTATGTTAAACAATTATTTTATATATATATGTGTATATATATATATAATCTGGGTTTTATAAATTTAATAATTTTGAACAGGAAAACCTAAAGAAATAAGGTTGTGTTCATTGTACAAGTTTTCCAATATGCAGACACAGGAGAATATCCAATGCTTCTCTCAAAAATCTTTTTATTTAATATATTAATACCTTGCTTCTTTGCATGGTCATTAATTAAATCAGTAATCATCAATTATTAGCCATCATTGTGCGGTTAATAAAAGTGGTATTCTAATGTTTAAAATATGCAAAATTTCTATTGGCATTTTACCAAGCAGTTAGGCTTGGGTTCTATTTCATAAGAGCACCTCTTTCTTCGTAAAGCTATTGATTACCATGAAAGCTTTTGGTAGCCTAAGAATCCTTGGACAAATGAAGTGAAAGGTGATGAGTACAGCTGAACTTGGCACAGATGAACACACAGCCAATGCATAACGTAAAACCAACGATTTTATTTAGAGAATAGTATTTTCTCTGTATGGATGTTTTTTTCCCAAATTTCTGACTCCATTGAAACACGCACACACACAACACACACACACACACACACACACACACAGTCAAATTGTTCCTCATGCGAATAACTACAAGCATATGCTTGTTCCCAGGAGCACAGCAACACTTAAGACTCCTTTATAGGTATCATGTCACTGAAGGGATATTTGCAACCATCTGTGCCATGTCTTTTTGCCTGGCTTTGAGCGACAGGGGTATGCTCTTTTGTACCTGGTGCTAGACTGGTGTCAAATGGAAGAATTGTCTCAGCTGTACTGGAGTGAGATTCTTTTCTTTTTTTTTAATTTTAATGCAACCAATTTGTTTATTTTATTGGAGTAAGAACACTTAACCAATTTTTAGGTGCATAATACAGTATTTTAACTGTAGCTCAGCTCTTCCCAGGTCTCTATCAAAAAGCATATTATTTGATACAATGTGTCCTAGGATTCAAGTCCTTCCTCTACTTCTAATAAACTATATAACGATGAGTAAATCAACTAACATTTCTGAGCTTCATCATTAAAATGCTAATAATATTGCCTGTTTATTTTCACCTGCTAGTAAATATAAGAAATAGCGCCCACATGATTAGATGGTAAACACTAGATTCTATGAATATATAAAATTGCAATATCAATCCAAATTCTTATGTATGAAGTGCATATCTATAGAAACGGCCGCTGAAACAGTGCACGATAAAATATTAACTTCATGCCAGCATTATTTCTCTTAAAATAGAATAAAAATGTAGAAAAATAACAAGAATTAGTGATTTTCTTCATTCAATTGTTAAAATCCTCTAGAACATTTAAAAATATCTCTTGGCTAGACTCAGATTCATGCACTCTGCTTAATTATTCCTTATTCAAGGGAAATAAGGGGATTTCATTGCATTTTATGTAGAGCCCTTCAACTACTAAATTAGAAAATTTGGCATGCATTCCTAAAACAGAAGAGAGATATAAAAAGAACACATTCAACTTCTTGGAAGCACAGTCTCTATTAAAGAGAAAAAAAAACATATATTTACAGCTATCAGGAGACAAATGCCTTTCTTGATAAGATGTAAACTTCTTTTTTTGCAGTTAATCATTTTGTTCTTCCTACAATAATGCTTATTTTGTTGTCAGTCAACCCGAATGTGTACTTGAGGTAATCAGTTTAGAAATGAGGCAGCTTCTGCTGCCACTTCTACTTTATGCTGAGAATCTTCATATTATTTGCGCAAGCAGCTTGGATCATTCTAACCGATGGGTAGATCAAACATATAATATGATAAGTATGTTAATAGGTAGTTTGATAAGAGACAACCAAGTTTATTTGGACTTTCACCAAATTATTTTACTCCATGGAGAGAGTGATGTCACCAAAATGACAGAGTATGAGACCCCAAGCCCTGTCCCCTGATACAGATCAATAATCAGACTGCTGTCCACAAACAAAAAAAGCACTAGAGTACACTTAAAAATTTCAGCCACACCATGAAACAAAAAACCTGAGAACAATCACACAAAAAGGGAAGGAAGTTTCATTCTGCTTTATCATTCCATCTTCTAAGCCAACGCTGCTCATTGCCGAGAGGAAACTCTCCAGCTAGAAAGAGCGCCTTTCACCAGGAAAGGGAAAGTAGAGTGAGCAACCAGCATCCCCAGGTTTTCAGGACACCATGGGAAGGACCCACTTCAGTTTTACCATTCCAGAGAATGGCAAAGCTGAGACAGAGAGAGTTGGCTAGGAACAAGGAAGAAAAGCAGGGGATATCAGTATCAGCCAATGCATCAGAGCAGTCTTTTTTTTTTTTTTTTCAAATTTATTTTTTTGAGAGAGATTGAGAGAACGAGTCAGGGGAGGGATAGAGGGAGAAGCAGACTTCCTACAAAGCAGGGAGCCTGATGCAGGACTTGATCCCAGGACCCTAGGACCATGACCCAATACGAAGGCAGACACCCAACCGACTGAGCCACCCAGGCGCCCCAGAAGAATCTTTATAAGCAACGTGTTGAATGATGAGAATTCCGAATCAGTTAACATATGGAGACCATCCACAGACTCTTCATACAGAGGATTCTGAATAGAGATTCAATTCTTCAATACCCATTTCAAACTTCTCATTCTTTCATAAGTCAGCAAAAACATGGCAGACAATATTATTTGGTTATCAAGCAGCCATTTTACTCCTTCCTTGTGTAACAAAACAAAACAAAACAAAACAAAAGCAAAATATTTTTGAGGGACAATGACAACCCTGTGCAACTTTCCCAGAGAGTTGCTTTCTCAGCTTGGTTTGCAATTGGACATGGCTATGGATATATTTATTTATTTGTTTTAAAATTTCATTTATTTATTTATTTTGAGAGAGAGAGAGTGGGGGGGGGGAGAACAGAGGGAGAGAGAGAATCTCAAGCATACTTCACACTGAGTGCAGAACCCAATGCAGGGCTTGATCTAATGACCCTGAGATCATGACCTGAGCTGAAGTCATGAGTCAGACGCTTAATCGACTGAACCATCCAGGTGCCCCCTATGAATATATTTATATATCCTATAAGGCAATAAGGCAGAGTCTTCTGGTGGGTTTCTGAGAGAGAAAAGATCCATGTGAAGAAAAGCCCCTTCGCTTCCCATGCACACTGTCTTTGAATTTGGGCATGAAAAGTGCAATTGAATAAGGAGATAGCATAATGAGATTCAGGGCAATACACTGAGAATGGTTGAAAAGATGGATAGACAGGTTAATTTGTTGACCTTCTATAAGATTCCCTGGCAGTAGCATAATTAAGTCTCTATTTCTGTAGCCGCTATTAGTTGGGTATTCTGATATTTGCAGTTGATATAATACTAAATGAGTAATCAAAAAATTGCTGTACCTGTGCATACTAATTTTCTTCTAAAATCATGGTTACAAATGTGTTGCATTTTAATTCAATGGTGTTAATATTAACTATTCAACTTATGAAGCCAGTATTGCTTGGCATATCTAGGAAATGAATACATACATCAGGGCTGTTCCTTACTTTCAGAGGCCTTTCAACATATTTTAGAGATAAGAGAAAGATTGTATGTCACATTTTGGCAAGACTTTCCTACTTCTCCTCAAATTCTCTCCCTCTCTTCTGATCCTGAGAGATCATGTCAATGCATCTAAAATGGCAGTCTGTATATATTTCAGTGTGCTTACAATACTTTCTTTTTTTCAGTGGCAATATAACCCAGTATTAGTTACACTGTCGTATTCAATGCCCTGCACAGAATATTGTCCACTCAGACACTTTATTCATATTTTCAAACATTACTTAATTTGTTTACTTAATAGACATTTCTTGAACAGTTAGGATGGACATTTCTTGAACAGTAAGGATGGACAGAGTCTTGAGGGGGTTAGGCATATTTTTAAGGATTAAGGAGTCAAGCTTCCTGCCCTCTAGGAGCTCATGATTTACTTTTACAATTAAAGAAATACATGGCATACTTTTAGCATACATTATTACAAATGCATTTTTAAAATAACAATGAAACAAAAACCCCACCACCCTCATGACCGACAATAATTAATTCTGCCATAGAGACTTGCAAAATAAGTCACAGAAAAAGATACATACAATCTTAGCTGAGAATAATGTGTTGTGTTTGGAAGAAGAAAGAAGGGTGTTGTGGAAGTATGAAGAACATGGAGATTTAAACCGGTTTGGAATTTTCAGAAGAAAAACATTTTTTGATGTGTTACTAGTTTAGACAGTAGAATAATCTTAGAGGTTTTTGACATGAATTTGAAGATGCGTATATGAGATGTTAGCAGTAAAAAACTGAAGTATCCACACCCGAATCTCATGCATTGTTTTAGACATTAGAGCTGGTTATCATGTTTCTGGTTTTCTTTTCCTTCCAGGAACATGGGAAGATCAAACTTTCATGTTCCCTTGAAGTTTAATATGGCTGTGTAGCCACCCAAAATTTATTGGGGTCTTTTCTATGCCCCCAAATCTCAAAATTGCTTTGACAGTTGGGTATTACATCTCTTCTCAAATATACAGGGTAAGTGTCCATTGTGTTTAATGGAAATATATTCTCTTTTCTAATATTTTGACCTCTTACTAATACTAATAATACTAATACTTTTTTTAGATACATGACAATGCCAACTCTTTTCCATCTTGAAATAAAACCAAAAACATTAACAAAACTAATAATAAAATACCCTTCCTTTCACCTTGTATGCCCTCCAATGACTGACTCTCCTTATCTTTCAATGATCCTGCTTAGCCAATACGAAATAATTGCATATGGTTATTTTCACCAGCTTTATATCTCAGATTCACTGAAGCCACTATGATTTTGCATCTAGGTCTTGACTTGGTCAAGCTCTCATCATAGCATATTTTATTATACTGGTAATTTTATATTTTATTTTTCTGATATGGGCATTTATTTTATCTTAGTATACAATTTTTTTGAAATTTAGCTATAATTAAATTTTTGCATGTCTTTACCAATGAATATATGATTTAACCAATTCAAAATTTGTTGGGAAGCTAATATAAACTTGGTATTCTCATGGAGCTGGAATGATAAAAATTGGTAGTTATGGCCTATTAAGAAATGATATGTGGTAAATAATCTAGGCTTTCACTTGAGACATCGAAACACAGCCTGTATTCTAGAAACTGTGGTGAAGTACATATCATAAATTCTTCTCAAAGAATAAAACCCAATTTGGGATCATTTTAATCCCTGATTAGATTAATGTTATCAGCTAATATCTTAATTTCTATTTAGATTCAAAATATATTCTACTCTGAAAATATTATTACATTATTCAGAATACAAATATTATTCCAACCTTAACAATTTCACAATTTTTAACATCAGAAGTCAAGAAAAAATGAGAAAATAACACATTGCTTTGAAATACTGCAATTAAGTTGACCACTGACATTTCTAAAGAAACTATATAATATGGTAGGTGGTGGAATACCTTGACATTTTTTAAAGAAAATAACTACTGATCCACAACCTTATGCCCAGCAATTGTATCCCCCAAATGAAGTAAAAATAGATACTTGAGCCAAACACATGTTGAGAGATTTGACACCAAAAGAACAGCCCTAATACAAATATATTTTTTCATGTCATTTTATTTTATTTATTTTTTTATTATGTTCAGTTAACCACTGTATAGTACATCATTAGTTTTTGATATAGTGTTCAATGATTCATTAGTTGAGTATTTAAAAAAGTTCTTGAGGCTTGTGGAAAATGTTAACTGATAAAAGTGTTAGTTTTTTTTAAGTTTTTAATCTTTATTTTTCTCTTGTTCCATTTTCCTAGTATCACAAAGTGTTCCCAAACTAGAAATTTTTTTTTGTTCTTATGTTAATCCCCATACATTACATCATTAGTTTTAGATGAAGTGTTCCATGATTCATTGTTTGTGCATAACACCCAGTGCTCCATGCAGAATGTGCCCTCCTCAATACCCACCACCAGGCTAACCCATCCTCCCACCCCCCTCCCCTCTAGAACCCTATTTGTTTTTCAGAGTCCATTGTCTCTCATGGTTCGTCTACCCCTCCGATTTCCCCCGCTTCATTCTTCCCCTCCCGCTACCGTCTTCTTCTTCTTTTTTTTTTTTCTTAACATATATTGCATTATTTGTTTCAGAGGTACAGATCTGAGATTCAACAGTCTTGCACAATTCACAGCGCTTACCAGAGCACATACCCTCCCCAGTGTCTATCACCCAGTCACCCCATCCCTCCCAGCCCACCCCCCACTCCAACAACACTCAGTTTGTTTCCTGCGATTAAGAATTCCTCGTATCAGTGAGATCATATGATACATGTCTTTCTCTGCCAAACTAGAAATTTTTAACCACTTAAATTTATGATTAGTGAAAGTGGCAAACTGACGTTGCCTTTATTTTATTTTGTACTTTGTGCAGATTATTCTTTACTTCCTTCTGACTCTCCTCCCTTTTGTTGGACTGTTCTTAAATTGTCATTTTCCCTTTAGTTATTTGGAAAGCTTTATATAATATGTCAACTTTCTGACATTTACACTAAAATATATCTCATGTGTTTGACTTAAAGACTAAATTTTAACAATTTAAAGAACTTACTATGAACTATATTGATAGAATGAAAGCACTCATTTATATAGCATTATAATTATCAAAAGTTATTCTGCATGCTTTAAATATAAGGATTTATTTATGTATTTTCATGCATATATTTTCCAAATATTTATATTCCTAATTTTCCATAGTCTACATTAGAGATTTTAATACCCTAGGGCAGAGGAATATTTAAGTCAGGGTATAAAGTGTAAATAAATAAATTCCAAGAGCTTTCCTTCCAAGAAGTATGTAGCAGTTAGTAGGAAGCCAGTGAAGGCACCAATCTTGTGGCAAACACTTAAAATCAATGAAGAAGAAGAAAAAAATATATATATATACATATATATATGTATATATATATGTATCTGTCATTCCTAGTGGAACTGAGATTAATGACCAATTCAAACCTAGGGACATTTGCTGAGTCTGAATTTACTCTGAATTTTGTGCATGTCATAAGATAGAGGATTCTACTAGGCTTTCTATAGGAAGAGAGAAGCTTGAGATGGCCCTGTGGGCTGGCAGAATTAATCATAATCTAAAAAAGCAATAGATGCATGATTGGTTTTAATCATGAGACATTTACAGATGATGGAGCAATGTATTGAGTTGGAAAAGAATGGAGGGGTCCAGAAGAGTAGAGTTAAATCTGTATATAACCCTTTGCTATCTAAGAGACAAAATACCAACAGAGGATGAAACTGATACCAAAAACATCACAGGTCTCACCTTCAAGTCATTCAAAACTAATTAGAAGTGAAATATGTATAATTAAGCTGCAGACCAGACAGTCTCAACACAGCTAAATCCCTGCTTCTTATCCTACAGACCTTTTAAAATAGTATCATTTTTAATAACAAGAGACTTAGCAATATCCATGCTATCCATGGCTGACGTTTTCTATAGAAACAAAGAGAAATAACACACTGAGCCGTATACGGAGTATAACATGCTTCTGGATCTGTTTTAAGCACTTGTACAGATCTTCAAGTTTTCCATATGAAATAGGTGATAGAGTCTTAGCTAACCCTGGAGCCACAGTCCCTGACTCCATATTTTGCCTCCCTTCTTTCTCTCCAGGCCGGATTATCACTCTGCCTACAGATGAGGGATGATTAGGATTGGCAAAGAGATACAGATGTAGTTCTAAAACTCTGAATTCGCATTGGTCCTTAGGATGTATTTCCACAGTAAAATAATATAATAAAAAAAAGAGTAAGTTAATTTTCAGGGTAGAATACAGAAGCTTTTGAGTATATAGCTCTCTACCTCTCTACCAATTATACATAATTATAAATTGTACTTACAATTACTTATCATTAACTATATATGAATAATACTTAAATACCTATAATTATAAGAATTATGCTTAAAATGACTATTATACACTTATAATTTAATATATGTTATGCTTATATATATAATATAATTTGTAGGTTGATTTTTATTAATCCTAGGCACTAGAAAGAGAATGTTTTTAACCTATAATTAAAGTACTACTAAATCACATTAGAGACACATTTAAACACACTATTGCACTGTTACTCTGAATCAGTTCTTTAATTTGTTAAGTATCTCTAAATAAGTAGCAATAAAATATTAATGATAATACATACTTTAAAGATTTCTTGAAATGGTTCAATTAAATGTTATTTTTAAAGTACTAGGTACATATTTAACTAGTATTATATGAAATGCATGCTATAATAATACTTTGAAGGCAGTCTTGTGAATATAACACTTTAAATTATTTTATGAATATATTTATTTATATTATGTAGATTTTATGAATTTACTAATTTTGAATAGAAACATACACACATATATATGTATATAAATATATATATTGAAATGTTATTCAGTTTTATAAAAGAAGGAAATCCTGCCTTCTTTTATGGATAAACTATTGAGGATAAACCATTTATAAGGATAAACCTTAAAGATATTATGCTAACAAAAATAAACCAGTTAGAGAGGGACAAATACTGTATGATTCCACTTGTATGAGGTATCTATGAGAGTCAAACTCAAAGAAGCAGAGAGTAGAATGGTGATTGTCAGGGCTGGGGGAGGGAGAATGGGAGTTGTCATTCATTGGGCATGAAGTCAGTTATATAAGATGAGTAAGTTCTAGAAATCTACTGTACAACATTGTACATATAGTTAACAATATGGAAATGTGGACTTCAAAATTTGTTTTGAAGATAGAACTCTTCAGTATTCTTACCACAATAAAAATTTGTTATTTAATACCATAGTTCTCTCGCTTTACTCCCTAGATAACTTTCAGTAAGCAGTCCATGGTTGATTTGCCTTCTAACATAGATTCCTAAATTCCACTGTGCAATGACGCAATCTGAAAGCCTACAGTTACTTCGAAAAAGTAGTATATCAAATCCCAGTGGAGGAGAGACACGCATGAGATAATTTTTTCTTTTCTTTTCTTTTCTTTTTTAAAGATTTGATTATTTATTCATGAGAGACAGAGAGAGAGAGAGAGAGAGGCAGAGACAGAGGGAGAAGCAGGCTCCCTACGGAGCCACCCAGGTGCCCCGAGATAATTTTTTCTATTTTAAGTTTTTTTCTTTATTTAAATAATCTCTACACTTGACATGGGGCTCGAACTCAGGACCCTGAGATGTAGAGTTGCTTGCTTTTCTAACTGAGCCATCCACGCACCCCTTGCATGAGATATTTTTATGTAAACTGCATATGTCATGAGGGTGCTTAGATATCTGCTTATTTACTCCATTTGTTTACAAGCATTTGAACAGGCTTGCTTTGAGGGGAATGGCATGTGGGAATCAATCTGAAATCTACTTCAATACCAACCATAAAATCAACAATTAAGAGAAAAATGTATACTGGGCATCACAGAAATTAGCTGTATGACAAAGGGACACCGAAGCATTTTAAAAAG